ATTCCTATTTGGTCAAACCTTTAAACAGTTAGGACCAAAGCCAAAATCCTCTCTCGATTCCTTCCATGAACGAGAGGTCCACAAATCGAGCGATCAAACCTTTAAACAGTTAGGATCGTCTCAAAACTCCCACTTGGTCAAACCTTTAAACAGTTAGGACCAAAACCAAAATCCTCTCTCGATTCCTTCCATGAACGAGAGGTCCACAAATTGAACGATCAAACTTTTAAACAGTTAGGATCGTCTCACTGTCCATTTGGTCAAACCTTTAAACAGTCAGAACCATAACCAAAATCCCCTTTCAATTCAATTCATGAACGAGAGGTCTACTTTTGAATTAAATAATCAAACCCTATGACAGTCAGGATTATTCAAACCAGTCCAGATTCTCCAAGTGGAGATCCCACTTTGAGTTTCTCTTGCACCAGGAGATAGAATATAAAATCATTCCTCTCCAATTTTGGGTTCATCTCTACTAACAAACAAGAGACCAGGAGATAGAATATAAATTCTTCCTCTCCATCATTGGGTTCATCTCTACCAACAAACAAGAGACCAGGAGATAGAATATAAAATTCTTCCTCTCCATCATTAGGGTTCATCTCTACCAACAAACAAGAGACCAGGAGATAGAATATAAAATTCTTCCTCTCCATCATTGGGTTCATCTCTACCAACAAACAAGAGACCAGGAGATAGAATATAAAACAGAATATTCTTAAGAATAACCTGAATACTCCAATAGGTACACGAGTCTAAAACTGTTTTCCTACCCTCAACAGGAAGTTTCTGGAGAATATTACTCAGAATATTCTTAAGAATAACCTGGCTACCTCCCAACGGGTATACGAGGTTAAACTATTTCCCGAGAACAAAAAAAATAAAAATAAAAAAAAAAAATACATGAGTATAAACTGTGTTCCTATGAAGACTGATACAGTGATTAACAATGCGGTATCAATTTGATGACAAAAGCTGAATTCACAAGTACAAATTTCAGCTTCAATTCAAGATCTCGACGACGGTCAAGCGATGAACGCCATGCCGAAAGGATCTTAGCTATTCTACAAAGCACTGAATAGACTGAGAGACAAAGAAGTGTTGAAGTCATCTACAGGTTCTTCTATACGATCTACCCAACCAAGCATTGGAAGGATCATAAGTAAGACCTATCTTATCCAAAGCATCCCAGAACTCCTCTATAAAAGATTGAGTCTGTGATACTTTGGAGGGGGTATCTGTAGGGGTCAAAAAAATACTGAGAGGTATCCAAACACAGCTCAAAAGGAAGTCATCCAAAATGTCAAAAAGAACACAAGTATAGACTGTTTTGCATGCGAGACAGTCTTTACTGTCTCGCACGCGAGACAGACTTGACTGTCTCGCGGGCGAGACAGACTTTTACTGTCTCGCCCACGCGAGACAGTCTTCACTGTCTCGCCGTGCGAGACAGTCTTTTGTCTCGCCGTGCGAGACAGAATTACTTGTCTCGCAACGTGAGATCCATCTGCTGCAGATGTGCAAAACCCCTTGAACTGGCCCTACACGTAGCCACTAACTGTTCAAGACGTGGAAACGTCGTGGGCGAGAATCACGTGGATAAACTGTCAAAATAACGGAGTTTGAAACGTGAAGGCAAGTTAAAACACGAAAACGCTGGACGGTACTGTTTCCGAGACACGAGTGTTTACTGTCTCGCGGGCCGAATACAAACACTGTCTCGCCCGCCGAGACAGCAAACACTGTCTCGACAGCCGAGACAGCAAATGCTGTCTCGCGAGCCTGTTTTCTGCCAGCTGTTCATAGAGGCTATAAATACCCCCCGAAGGCCATTTTTGAAGGGGGGCTGATCAGAGAGCATCCACAGGCTGATTTCAGAGCAGAGAGGGCAGAGTACTCGAGCTTCTGTAACTCCTTGATATTCAGGCTTTGACTTGATTTCAAGAAGAACGACTATCTTACCTTGATAAGATATCGTTTCAAGTTCTCACTTCGATAAACGAAGTCAGAATCATAAACCCCTCACGATTCAATCAGAATCTGTGATTTGGTGGTCCACGGGCTAACACACCCCCGGCACAAGCAAAGATCCCATGCAAGCAGTGATCCAAACAACGATCCTGCGTTTGTTTCCCAAGAGTTATAATTTTTATTTTGTTGTGTAAAAGAAGTCTTATAAAAAGGCTATCTCTTTTTTGAATTTATTGTAATCGACTGAAGATATAATGAATTTCATGACAAAACCAACTTTTGACGCAAACAGTGTATGTTGGAGCATAGTCGAAATATTGGTTGTATGGAGATTCATATTCAAGCTATTGTTGATATAGAGGGTTCTACTTCTGAAAAAACGCAGCAAGTTCTAACTAAAATGTAAGTAATTATTAACCTGTTGTTAAAATTAGGGTTTGTGTGATGTAAGCTTTGTGATTTTAGGTTTCATACTATAGACACATCTTAAATGTTAACTTTAATAGTTACATATTAACTATTCTTGTTGTCTGTTAACTATCACAACTATTTGTTAACTTTCACCTGAACTTGTTAACTATTTCTATTGTCCGTTGGCTATTGCAACTATCTGTTAACTCTCACATGAACCTGTTAACTATTCCTGTCGTCCATTAACTGTCACTGTTACCTGTTAACTTTCACAAGAACGTGTTAGTTTTTACGATCACATGTTAAGTTTATAATTTATTTTAAAATCTGACTGGTTTCTTAATTTGTGCAGTAGTGATACTTGTTTGAATTCAAAATATAATCATATTGCTCCAGGAAGTACTTCTAATTCATAGAGGATCCCAAAATAATTGCCCTTCTGGTGAGAACGTAATTAGATCAGATAACATTCTCAACAATACTTCCATCGTTCCTCAATTGTGGCACACAACATTAACCGAAAAAGGGTCAATAATTTAAAAGTATAAATGAATTAAGACTAGCTTTGCAATACTATTCTATAGCGAAAAAGTTTGGTTATTAATTTTTAAAGAATGAACCCAAACTGATTAGTGTGGATTGTTATGTAGAACTATACTTTTAGTAGAGCAATATAGGTTGTGAAGACTTTTGTAGTTCAGTGTGGAAGAATTTTGTAAGCTTTAAGAATGTAAGACCAATAAAATTGTGTATTCAAGCTATATCAGCTGTAATAATGTAAGACTAATCAATATAAAGTACATGTTTACTATATGTTAGCTATTTATATTTCTTGCTAAGTTAACTTTCACTTGAACCTGTTAACTTTTGGCTTTTTCTATTAATTTTTACTGAAAGTTGTTAACTTTTAGGATTACCTATTAAGTAAATATGGTATCAACAATAAACATATCAAATTTATAGCAAAAAGGATCTAATTGCTGATTAGTATGATTTGTTATGTAGAACTATATTTTTGGTAGAGCAATATAAGTTGTCAAGATTTTTGAAGCTCATTGTGAACGAAATTTGTAAACTTTAAGAATGTAAGGCCAATCAAATTGCGTATTCAAGCTATATCAGCTGTAAGAATGTAAGACTAATCAATATAAAGTACATGTTTACTATATGTTGGTTGTTTATGTTTCTTGATAACTATCTCAGTTACCTATTAATTTTCACTTAAACCTGTTAATTTTTGGATTTTCCTGTTAACTTTCACTAAAATTAACAGGTAAGATTCACAACTAACTTTTCATAGTTCATAATCAACTCATATAATCAAAAAGTATGTGCAATTTTGATGCTTATATACACACATCTACACGATAATATCTCTATAACATTTTCTTTGTACACGACATATGTTATTGTCACATTTCAAGAAACCAGGTCCATCTTTGACACTTTGATTATAGGCATTCATAAATTTTTAGTCCAAGTATTATCATTTTAATCTGGAAGCCAACTCATCCACTTTACAAGCATTTCGATAAACAACACATATTTCCCAAAATCCTTATTATCCTCCTCCTCCTCCTCCTACTTCATTACCCATTAGATATAATCCCCAACTCTAACATTCATCCCCTACCCGCCTTCTATGCTTTTTGCAGACCACGCTCCACCACTAAATCCATCCACACCATTCCTAATCTCCCTTTACCTCCCATCACCATGGATCACTAGCTCGAAGAGTTCGACCTCTCCTTCCTTCTATCCTCCTTCTTCATGCTCCTCTCTATCTATCTCGTCGATCGTCTCTCCTTCTTCTCTAAGCCTTCTCAACGTTTGTCTTAGATTACGGGGTGGTGACGGAGGATGAGGTGGGTGAGGGAGACATCGGGTGGGAGAGTAAGCGGAGTAAGAGGGAGATGGAGGAGGAAGATAAGGTTAGGGGAGAGGAAGAGGAGAGGAGCGGAGGAGAAGAGAAGGAAGGATCAGTTATAGTATCCCATGAGAAAAAGAGAAGGGCGGAGAGAAGAAGAAGAGCTGGAGTGGTAGTTTTGAAATTTTTTGGGTTACTTTTTGGATAATATAAACAAGAGCTGAATCAAAAAAAAAAAAAAAACTCTTAGCATTTGGACCTTATAAATTAGGAAATTAATACAGGGTGTGAGAGACACATCAAGTTCTTTATTTTGGGGATCAACATAATTTTTGGATCCAAACTTGTGAAGGCGGGCAAGTGTTAGATCGGGTAAGGGTGCGGCCCACTCCACCCACACTAGGGAATATATTGGTTAATAATTTAGGCCATGTAAAATTTGCGTTCGATCCACCGCTGATTAGTCCTGTGGGCCCCCATCGTTTTGTCGAATTAATTAGGTATTCCAGCTGTAATGTCATTGTTAATCGGTGAATCGTCCCATTCACAACAAACCTTCTCACTACACTGCTCCAACATCCAATCACAACCTAACCTGCTCCACTCGTCAAATTCAACGACAGATCAAAACCTCACTCGTCTCATTAGTCGACTCCCTTTAAATAAAACTGTTCCAGAGGCATAACTAAATTATACGGACCCATATAAACCGGCCCATCGTATGGCCCTCCACTTCTCACTCACTGAGCATTCATTCTCCCCTCCCTTTTTAATCCGTATCATCAAGAAAATAAAGAAAATACTAATAATTTTTTTTAATTCAACCCCATTTCTATCGCGTCCTTCGATTTGCCCTCGGATCCAAAAGCGCGCGATTTCGAGCTTCGTGAAAAGGTACGGGCTTTTCTAGATCTCGTATTCTTGGTTATTTGTTGGAATCCTCGTTTCTGTGGAGATTTTGTGTGAAATTGTGAGCCGCATTGATGTCTTTGCTTCGGATTTGTTCTATTTTTTAGAACTTTTGAGGGTTTATTTCGTTGATTTTGGGGAAAATGGAGAACTAAGAGCGTTACGAAGTTTGATGTGGATCCGGAAATGTTCGAGGTTTTTGATGTATAGAAAGCGATTGATTGCATTATTGAATGTTTTTTTTTGAGAATCTGAGTTATTGTTTTTTATGTAGCTTGTACTTTATCTGTTGGGTGTTTGTTTTATCTTTAATCGGTAAAGTGCAGCTTACTTCTTCAAGTTTTGAATTTTTTTTTTCATTGACTGGAGAATTGTGAGAAATAATAATAATAATTCTTGAATAACAAATAAAATTTTCTTCTTATAAATGTTATTTTACAATCAAATTGTATTGTGTAAAGAATTTTATGAATAACTATTATAACTTGCTATAATCTAATCACTATTTATTTTTTATATTTATAGATAATTAGTAGATAACTATACATTTTAATGGTTATAAGTATATTATTTTGTTATACTATTTTTAAAGATTTAATAGTTAACGCTATTATTTGATAATTATACTATTATTAAATAATTTATTTAATGATTATGTAATTAGTCCATAAGAATTAATAGTTAATACTACTACTTATACTTATAGTATTACTAGGCGGAATGCACGTGCACTGCACGTGGTCAAATATCTTAATTATTTATTTTAAACTTATTTACTTACTATAACATGGTTGCAAAAAAAGTTTATGATTATGATAATATATTATTTTTTTTGGATATTTCCATGTATAATATCTTGTTGGTTTCAACATTTTGCCTTTCACAAAAAAAGTCTTAAAATATTAATAACTTAAGAGCAAATTAATGACTTGAAGACCTAATTTCAAAATATTAATGATGTAAGGGACCAATATAAAAAAAACTATTATTATTAATGATAAAGTAAAAATTCTTGAATTCATCAAAGTAAAAAAGTAAGTTTTATCTGGTCATATAGGATTTTGTTTAATCTTTGTCAGAATGTGAAAATTCAATCAAGAAAGAAAACATAAATTATGTGATCAATTCCAAAATCTGATATTATAGTCTTTCTACATCTTCCCAACTAATTAATTGACTTGTCAAAACGATTACTCTCTAGTTTCAGAAAATTATAAAATATAATATAAGAATGATTTATACATATTATGCACTATGGATTGTATTTTAACAAATAATTCAGATTTATCCAATATCAAAAAATATCTAAAACTTTAGGTTAAGGAGTTAGAAGAATTCAATATCCACAATAATACTCATACCTAAGCTATGTGCTTCATAAACTTATAAGAAAGTGAGAACTATAAAATGAACAATTTAATTTATTTTGTCAAATAGTTTATTACAAATCATAAAAGACAAGGGGAATCAGAAGGATCATATACCCTTCACAAATAAAGATTAAATTTCTCGTAAATATTTTTGTAGCAAAAGATTTTTAGAGTTGATGTATAGGATAAATCTTAGGACACATAACCCACATGAGTTCATAGAGTGATATACTTGTTATAAAATCCAATTTTATAAGATTGATGTTACATGTGCCTTAAGTTACACTTTGTTTAACTTTAAAAACCACCCTCTCAGCTATGGGGGGCAATATAAAAAAAAAACCCCTCAGCTATTTTTTGGATACAAGGGAAATCTGGTAAGGCAAAAGGATCCCCAAGCTAAGGCCCGAGTTCGATCCCCACTCTTACCAGTAAACCCTGGGTGAACTGGCCCCCCTATCCCATCCAGTCTTCAGGTCAGTAGGACACTTGCGGGTCATGGGTGGCATACCTCAAACCCGAACCTTTAGCCACGAAAATTGCTAACTTAAAACTGAGTAAATCTTTGTCAAATTTGGGGTCTTGTAGATAATCTATCTCAACTTCAAAATTTTGATTTAACCATATAAACTTTTCTCACTTAACCGTTCAAAACTAATATCATTGAGTCTAAACTATTATATGACAAGTATTTGACTTGGAAAGACCAAAATATCCCTCAACCATAAAAAAAATTAGCATGGTTTTTGCTAGATTAAAGAAAAAGAGGAGATATAGATGGGAAAAGAATTATAAATTGGTCGTGGTCCTTTTATTATCGGTTGAAAGTTCTTTTAAATAAAATAACTTTCTTCAAGAGGGTATGTTCTCAAAATTTCATATTCAAGTAATACATTAAGGGTTTTTGCTGAGAGAAGTGTAAAAGACGAGGGGAGTTTTGTGAGACGCTATAGTCGAGGGGTGTTTTCTAAAATCGCACCAAAGTTAAGAGGGGCTATCTACAACACCCTCATAGTTAGAGTGTTTTGTCAAATTAAATCAATTGAGTTTTTTCAGACAATCCCCATAGGAGAGAGAGTTTTCAAACAAAATACTTAAATTTGGCTTGTTTATATTTATGTCCCTCATATTTTTAATAATTCAATAGTAGTCCTTTAAATTATAAGAAATTTCAAAATTTTGAGGGAATAATATAGAATTATTAGAGCTCTAGAATCAAGGAACTTATATCTAAATTATCTTTAAATGTTGCTCTTATAGGCAATATATTAAATATTGTCCTGTATATATTGCTATATCGACTGATATATCAGGTTAAAGAACTTACTCGATATTATTTATGGTTTTGTGTTATTTTATTTTATTTTATTTGGGGTTTTTTCTAATATATCGATCGTTATCGAAAATATTGGCCAACACATCCCTTTGAAGACATTGACAAAATTGAGTTATTTTTAATTTGATTATGGGCTACGGTTTGGGTCATGTTTGAAAACCAAAACCAAAACCCACAAAAGTCGCAATCCCAGATCTCTCCACTCTCAGTATCAACTCTCCTAAAATTTTAAGCATATATTTTCATGCAAATTCTTACGTTCAAAATTTATTAATATGTTAGATTATAACTTACAATGTTATATTATGTACAAATATTATCTCATCTGACACTTGGTATTTTTTACATATCCCTAATTTCTGCAATATGATATCATAGATTTTAGTTGTACAATATTTATCTGATGCCCAACACTTCATAGTAGTCCTGCGCAAGCCTCTTCTAAAGTTTTCTAAGCAAAATATATAATTTTAGAAAATAATTCAAAATCTTAAGACTTATTTAAAATATGATGCTTTAATTTTTCCACACCTCCTGTACTATATATATATATATATATATTATATAAGCTAAGCCTATGGCCTCATATTATATGATGAATATTATCTATCAATAGGATCACATACTATTGTTTGTGGTTAACAAATATTTCAAATCTTTATAGACTTGATTGAACTTAAATACTTTATAGCTTATGAAAGTTATAAATCTCCACTTGTATCTTGCTACACTTAAATATCATCATATTTTCTAAAGTTGCATGTTTGTACCTACTGTCCTGTTATCTAAATACAAGAATACTCTTTGTAATTCTCCTATATGAGTGTCATGGTATAATTCTAGGATAATTCTATGTTTCTACTCTTTCCATACATAATTAATAAACATGCAATTGTCTACTAATATATTATTATATATTAGTAATAATTGATATGATGTATAGTTTTACAATAATACTGAAAGGTTTAGTGACCAAGTTAGACAAACTTATAATTAATTTATAGTATGAAAGTTATACATCTCCACTTGTATCTTGCTTCACTTAAATATCCTAATATTTTCTAAAATTGCATGTTTGTACATTCTCTCCTGTTATCTAAAGACAAGAATACACTTTGTAATTTTCCTATATGAGTGTCATGGTACCATTTTAGGACAATTCTATGTTTTTCTACTCTTTCCATAAATAATTTATTAACATGAAACTGCATATTAATGTATTATTATAAATTAGTAATAATTTATATGATGTAGACTTTACAATAATATTGGAAGTTTTAGGGACCAAGTTAGACAAACTTGAAGTGGTATATGATATAATTAATTAACAATAATAATTAATTTAGTTTAGTTAGAATTAGAATGTAATATTAAAAAAGAACAGGGGTAATATAGTCCATAGAAAGTTTTTCCATAACTTTCTCTTTTAAAGGGAGTATGATTAGATAATTATTTAATGATTATGTAAATTAGTCTATTATACTATTGTTAGGTAATTATTCAGTAGTACAATCATTAAATAATCATTTGTTTCTTAATTTAAAGAGTAATATAACTACTTTTAGTAAAATATAACTAACAATTTATATTAATTAAAACAACTATAAAATGAGTCTTAATTTATTGTAAATATTTATTAATTATAAAATAATATAAAAATAAGTATTTATTAAATTATTTTTTACATGATTTTAATCAATAATAATAGTGTAAATATTAATTGTTAAATACTTTCATTTAGAGGGCATAGTTAATAAGAAGTTATGAATAGTGAAGACTTCATTACGGATAAGAAGTATAATTGTGAATTGTCAAAATTAAGAGGGCAAAATAGGTATTTTAAAGTTTAGACACAGTGATCCTCTTTTATATGGTAGTATAATATAAAGTATAATATAATATGAATTTAAGTTTCTTATGTTTTTAGTCCAAGACACTGTTTGCTTCTTTTTTAGGGTAAAATTCACATAATCCGTTAACATTTTCCCTATTTAAGATATCCACCTAACTTTTGAAAATGTCAAACCCCAAACTTTGAAACTCTATAAAACCCTAATTAAATCTACCACTAAATTAATATTAAATTAGGGGGGGTGGTGGTGGTGGACGGGGGTCGCCAGGAGCGATGAGAGATGCTGGCCATAGGGTTGTCGTCGGCTACGGCTAGAGCGAGGAAAAGAGGGTTGAAGGACTAGGGCTAGTGGAGAGTGTGTATATATGCAAAATTAAGATGATTTAGGGGCGTATATGTGCAAAATTGAGAAGATTTAGGAGTGTATATGCAAACAACTATTATTAAAAAATTATGTTAAGTGTTTTTTTCTAGGGAAAAATGCTTCCAGCCCCCAAAAACCAAGAAAATATGATTCCCACCCCTAAGACTTTGTCAACGGGTGTTTTACCTCCAAACATAAAGAGTTTGTTCTCTGAACCCCAAAACACAAAACCCAAGAGATTAAAATATGTGAAGACTATAATACCCTTCTCTTTCTCTCTCTTTATCATGATGTACTGAGATGATAGGTGAAATGACTGACTGGGATAATTTTATTATTTTTATTTTTTATTATTTTCATTGTTGATGAGGGGGAACATATTGTTTGTATTGGGAGATTGTTAAAGTTAGGGGTTAATTGTTAAGGTTACGATTTAATTGTTAAGGTTATGAGTTAATTGTTAAGGTTATGGATCCCTTCTCTCTTTATATATTTCTCTCTCTTTATCATGATGTTACTGTGATGATCTTGAAATGATTGAAGGGAATTGTTATTTTATTATTTTCGTTTTTTATTATTTTCTTTGTTGATGAGAAAATTAATTGTTTTTGTTTGTATTAGGAGATTGTTAAGGTTACGGGTTTAATTGTTAAGGTTACGGGTTTAATTGTTAAGGTTAATGGTCAATTGTTAAGGTTACGGGTTAATTGTTAAGGTTATGAGTTTAATTGTTAAGGTTACGAGTTTAATTGTTAAGGTTACGGATCAATTGTTAAGGTTACGGGTTTAATTGTTAAGGTTACGGGTTTAGTTGTTAAGGTTACGGGTCAATTATTAAGGTTATGGGTCAATTGTTAAGGCTATGGGTTTAATTGTTAAGGTTACGGGTTTAATTGTTAAAGTTACGGGTTAATTGTTAAGGTTACGAGTTTAATTATTAAGGTTACGAGTTTAATTATTAAGGTTACGGGTCAATTGTTAAGGTTACGGGTCAATTGTTAAGGTTACGGGTCAATTGTTAAGGTTACGGGTTTAATTATTAAGGTTACGGGTCAATTGTTAAGGTTACGAGTTTAATTATTAAGGTTATGTGTTTAATTGTTAAGGTTATGGGTCAATTGTTAAGGTTACGGGTTTAATTGTTAAGGTTACGAGTCAATTGTTAAGGTTTCGGGTTTAATTGTTAAGGTTACGAGTTTAATTGTTAAGGTTATGTGTTTAATTATTAATATTACGGGTCAATTGTTAAGATTACAAGTTAATTGTTAAGGTTACGGGTCAATTGTTAAGGTTACAAGTCAATTATTAAGATTACGGGTTAATTGTTAAGATTACGGGTTTAATTGTTAAGGTTACGGGTCAATTGTTAAGCTTATGGATCCCTTCTCTCTCTCTCGAACTTTAATAATTAAACCCGTAACCTTAACAATTGACCCATAACCTTAACAATTAAATCCGTAACCTTAATATAAAAACCCGTAACATTAACAATTGACCCGTAACCTTAACAATTGACCCGTAACCTTAACAATTAAACCCGTAACCTTAACAATTAAACCCGTAATCTTAACAATTAAACCCGTAACCTTAATAATTAAACCCGTAACCTTAACAATTAACTCGTAACCTTAACAATTATAAACTCGTAACCTTAACAATTAAACACATAACCTTAATAATTAAACTCGTAACGTTAACAATTGACCCGTAACCTTAACAATTAAACCCGTAACCTTAACAATTGACCTGTAACCTTAACAATTGACCTGTAACCTTAACAATTGACCCGTAACTTTAATAATTAAACCCGTAATCTTAATAATTAAACCCGTAACCTTAACAATTGACCCGTAACCTTAACAATCTCCTAATACAAACAAAAATAATTAGTTTCCTCATCAACAATAAAAATAATAAAAAACAAAAATAATAAAATAACAATCCTCTTTAATCATTTCAAGATCATCACAGTAACATCATGATATATATATATAGAGAGAGAATGGATCCATAACCTTAACAATTGACCCGTAACCTTAACAATTAAATCGTAATATTAACAATTAACCCCTAACTTTAACAATCTCCCAATACAAACAGTTAGTTCCTCCTCATCAACAACGAAAATAATAAAAAACGAAAATAATAAAATAATCCCTGTCAGTCATTTCAACTATCATCTCAGTACATCATAATAAAGGGAGAGAGTGAGAGAAGGGTATTATGGTCTTCACATATTTTAATATCTTGGATTTTCTGTTTTGGGGGTTTAGAGAACAAACTCTTTATTTTTGGAGGCAAAACACCCGTTGACAAAGTCTTGGGGGTGGAAAGCACGTTTTCTTGGATTTTGGGGGCTGGAAGCATTTTTTCCTTTTTTTCTATTAGCGGTGTATATGCAAACAACAGACTTCATAAGTTCCCACACATGTTTTTAACGTTGGTGGTGAAACCAAAAGGAGTTAGGTTTGGGGAGGGGGTTCTGACAAAATTTTAGGGGGGCTAAGTAACGTTTCTAAAAGCTAGGGGCTTATCTGAAAACATGCCAAAAGTTAGGGGTTTACCTCAGAACAGGTAAAAAGTTAGGAGGTTAATATGAAATGTACCTTTTTTTAGTTTGAATATGAAGTCTGTTGTTTATTAAATCGCATGCAAAAGAAAAATATTAATTAGAGCGATGCCAGCAGATCTAACTCTAGAAATCTGGTGCTTAGCATGTTTTCTTACGGGAACAGTCATTTTTAAGAAATGGGAGCAAATTTCAATCAGCTGAAATACCATAGGTTGTCGCTGAAATTACTCCGAAATTGGATATCTTTCGTTAGCTCGGGGAATATTTGGGCTGATTGAAATACGAACGGTAAACCCATGTATTTGGATGGATCATGGATGTAGCCTAATATGCTTTTCAGGGCTATTTTAAATCATGAAATGGAATATAAATGTTGATGATAAGCATCTCACATCCAATCAAAAGTTAAAATATGGTTGTCGTTCCTTTTTTTAAAAAAAATACTTTAGTCCCGTATCAGTTAGCGGGAAAGAGGGATGTCTTAGTTTAAATTGAAGGCATATAAAGAAAGCATAAATACTGTGAAAGAGGGTCACGTTTAGAGAAAATTTTGAATTGCGAGTGCTCTTTTGATTAACTTATACTCTCCATTCATTGATGTGAAGATCTTTACGCGTACTCCATGTGGTTCGTCTGCTCATATTATTCATCTTTTAACAGTTTGTCAATGTTTAGAATTTTTCACCAGAATACTCCCTGGATGAAAAATCTGAAATATATCCTAATGAAATTTTGTTTTTTTTATTGTCTTTCAGTCCTGCACCAGGTTAGGGGGTTAATTACATGCTACAATATGCCGTTTGGAAGAAATCAACGGTTAGACCCACGGAGGTCCTCACCTTATTGCTCAACTACGACCATTGTTGTGCTTGTTGCGCTTTGCTTGGTTGGGGTATGGATGATGACTTCGTCGACAGTAGCTCCTGTTGACATGTCTTCATCCGATGACAATTCTGAGGTGAAACAACAAGTATCTGAGACTGATGGTAAACCTTTTGAGGATAACAATGGTGAAGTACCTATAGAAGCAAGTGAAGGGGATACTAATACAAACTCAAACAGCGGAGCCAGTGAATCCCAGTCCGAATCTTCTCAGAATAAGGTCGAGCAGGGAGAAACAACAGGAAATGTGGGGGGGACAACCCAGGACGAAAATTCTTCCAACGGGAATAAAGACACAAAAGACGAGTCAATTGATACATCAAAAAGTGGAACCTATAGTGATGCAAATGGGAAGTTAGATGAGGTTGCGCTCGTTAAGGAAGGTGGAGATTCAAAATCAGAAAGTAGAGATAAGAATACAAGGGGTGAAGAAGTTCGTCCGGAGAAAAGCATGGAGAAAAACTCAGTTGAAACTGAAAGCAGTAGCAGTAACAATTCTGATCAAACAGAAAATAGTGAACAGGAAAATAGCACAGTAAGCACTGAACAGGAAAAAACTGCAGAACAAAATTATCATAGAACAGGAAATAACGTGAAGGAAAAGAACACTGAACAAACAGATCAAACACAAAGTAATGACCAAAATAAGAGCACTGAAGAGAAATCAGATAAAACTGCAAGCAATGAGCAGCAACTATCAGACACTCAAAATTCAAACCAAGAGAGTAAATCCGATGTTGTTATCGTGAAAGATAAAAAGGGTGAAGAGCAGATAGATGAGAAGATGGTGCAAAACCAAAACAGGGATACTGCCCAAAAACCTGATGAGGGAAAAACTGAGGACGAGACAAAGGAGCAGGGAGCAAAGGAATTGCTTCCTTCTGGAGCTCAAGCCGAGCTTCTTAATGAGACCATTACTCAAAACGTGGCCTGGTCTACTCAAGCTTCTGAGTCAAAGAATGAGAAGGAAAAGCAAGCAACTTCTTCATCAAAGAAGGAAGGCATTAGTTACAGCTGGAAACTCTGTAATGTCACTGCTGGACCTGACTATATACCCTGTCTTGACAATGAAGCAGCTATCAAGAAGCTTCCAAGCACTAAGCACTATGAGCACAGAGAGAGGCATTGCCCTGAGGAAGCTCCAACTTGTCTTGTTCCTCTTCCAGATGGATACAAAAAGTCAATTGAGTGGCCCAATAGCAGGGATAAGGTATCTTATTTATAACTAACTTATACATGTAAACCTGCATTTCCTTTTTCTGAAAGATAATTTTCTTCTTATGACATATGCTTAATTTTCTTCTTAGAACATATTCGCTTAATTTTCTTCTTGTGACATATTCGCTGCAGATATGGTACCACAATGTCCCTCATACAAAGTTGGCTGTTGTAAAGGGGCACCAAAATTGGGTTAAAGTCTCTGGAGAATACCTCACTTTTCCAGGTGGTGGAACTCAGTTCAAACATGGTGCATTGCACTATATCGATGTCATCCAAGAGGTAACTTTCTCACTTTTCAATCTTCTAGATGCTTTTATACGTGACTAATGTGCTTCTTGTGTCATTCCTGTTGATCTAGTACCATGCTTCATGGATTTCTTTACTAGTTCCAAATCACACACACACACACACACAAGCACACACACCTGCACACGTGCGCACATGCACACACTCTAGTATATCCTCATCAAGCTGTCAGTAAACAAACACACACGCCCGCGCACGCACACATTAATATATCCTCATCATGAAGTCAGTTAATTTTCCCATTCCAGTGTACCATTGTGTTTCTTAAAGAAATGTATTGCCTGTGGTTGACATTATTTCTTAAATGATTGAATATCTTGTTAATCTGTTGGGGTGTGTATGTGGCCTTTGATGCATGTCATGTTTCATCAGTGGTATATAGTATGTTTGTGTATCATTGCACCTGTAGTTATACACAAATATGATTTATCCTGTAGCTCTAGTACGTTGCATATCATGTTTGACCAGCGTACAACGCGTTTGTTGAAGAAATGTATTGCCTGTGGTCGAACATTATTTTTTTAAATGATTAAATATCTTGTTAATCTGTTGGTGTGTGTATGTGGCCTTTGATGCATTTCAGCAGTAGTACATAGTACCTTGTGTATCATTTGACCTGTAGTTATACACAAATATGCACAAGAATATTCATTGCATGCAAATATTTTTATTCTCTTGAGCATTCTTGAAAACTGCAAGATTAGAGTGTTTCTAGGAAGTATTAACTTGTGTTGGAGTTTACAAGTATGTTTTCAAATTTGGCTTCTTCGCTGATAATAACTGTCTTATTCTATATTTTTTCTTCTTGTATAGAAAATCATCCCAGAATCACGTGGAAACCACTTGTGAAAGTAGTTTTATACTCACTAGTTTTCAAGTGTCTATTCTGTATGGATGTCATTTTCTCTTAAATAGCTGTTGCTTCTCCAACAATTTCTGATCACCCATATTTACGTCCCAATTTACTAGTCCTTTTAAAAAACGATCCGTAGGATGGTCCTTGAGCACATATTAAACTTGGGTTTTTCCCCCTTTTCTCTCCAGGCTTTGCCTGATATAGCATGGGGGAAAAGAAGTCGTGTTGTACTGGATGTTGGCTGTGGTGTGGCTAGCTTTGGAGGTTACATCTTTGAGAGAGATGTGCTCACCATGTCATTTGCCCCAAAAGATGAGCATGAAGCCCAAGTGCAGTTTGCTCTTGAACGAGGAATCCCAGCTATATCTGCTGTCATGGGCACCAAAAGGCTCCCTTTCCCTGGCAGGGTGTTTGATGTTGTTCATTGTGCCCGCTGTAGAGTTCCATGGCACATTGAAGGTATACTTTACATTAGAATGTTTGTTCTTTGATTTCAAATATCATCAAGATTATTCAGGAATCAACTGGCAGGTGGTACGCTTTTGTTGGAGTTGAACCGGCTGCTGAGACCTGGTGGATACTTCGTATGGTCTGCTACTCCTGTTTACCAAAAGCTTGCAGAAGATGTTGAAATCTGGAAAGGTAAGAGTAAGACTGTTGCTACTGCTTTTGTTCAAGTGCATAGACTCACTAGAGAAAGGAGATAGCATTAAGTGACAAGATAGGCATCTTAAGCAATATTACTAGGCTATCCATATACTGACTAGGTTTATAGATTTCATTGTACAACAGTCTATGTAACTGAAATTCCACCTTGATTAAGAAAACTAGGTCTCAATTGCATGACCCTGAAGAAAATTTTCTGATCTTGCATATCCTAGATTCAGTATGAGTTGGAAATGCTTTTCTTTTTCTTTATCTTTTTCTTTTTTTTCATGACACATTAATCAAGCTTGTTAGAATATAAAAATATAACTCTCAATCCTCACCATAACTCCCGAGTTTTGGTGCAGTAGTTAGTGACTTTGACAAAGTGGAAATATCAGAATTGTTGTTATGAGGAAACATGAAGTATATTACCGAAAGCAACATGAGAACAATAATGGAATAGTTGGATGTATTAAAGATATTGTTTCAAAATTTGATAACAAGTCATACTCTCTGGCACCCTAAACCTTACACAGCAATTCATAGTTAACACTCTATCTACATTTAATCATAGGGATATGCACTTTAAAGTTTACTGGTGCCTCTGAGAATCTTTGAAAACATTGTGTTTATTCTTTGTGATAAAATTTTGCTAAGTTACAAGATCTTAATGTATCAATCACGAGCATGACCATTAATTTTGTTTATAACACATCATTAGCTTATGAGTTATGTGGCTCTTGATGCCAGCCATGACAGCTCTAATGAAGTCCATGTGCTGGGACATGGTAGCGAAGACAAAGGATAATGTAGACCGTGTAGGTCTAGCAATCTTTAGAAAGCCTTCAAACAATTCTTGCTATGAACATAGGAAACAGAGCAGCCCCCCATTCTGTCAAGAATCAGATGATCCTAATGCAGCCTGGTATGCTTATTTAATAGACAATTGACCGTGTGCTTCTTATTGGCAGTTTGTGAATGTTCTATTATAGAATTTTAGTATTAGAATTGGCATATTGCATGTGTACAGGAACGTTCCTTTGCAGACTTGTATGCACAAAATACCTGTAGATGCTTCTGTTCGTGGGTCTAAGTGGCCAGAAAAGTGGCCGCTGAGGTTGGAGACAGCACCGTATTGGCTGAATAGCTCTCAGATCGGTGTCTATGGTAAAGCTGCTCCTGAGGACTTCAAAGCAGACCAAGAGCACTGGAATACTGTTGTTAGCAAGTCATACTTGAATGGCATGGGAATTGACTGGTCTAAAGTGAGAAATGTTATGGATATGAGAGCTGTTTATGGAGGGTAAGCTTACTGCATGTTGTTACATTTGCAATCTATACAGTTTCTATAACGCATCGCAATTTTTCCCTATGTTGAAAAACACAATTAAGGACTTCTTCTAAGTAACAACATGCTGAAAGTATAAGTTAGATAATTAAGCAGAAAATATTCATTATATGATACTTCTCTATACATTTTCCATGCTAAGGGTCTGTACAGAAAGGGAGAAGAATAAAAAAGAGAGGAAGAAAAGGAAAACATTTCCCTTATCATTGTTGATACCTTTATGAATCTTAATTTAACTCATTTCACTGGCTATACTTAGTTTAGTATTGCATGAAACATGAACACACACACACACACACACACACACACGTCTCATCGGTTTTACTAGTAATTCCATCATAATTGACTAAAGATGGCCTATATCTCACCTTGTTGGTAGAGGATGGAAATAGGCATCAATTATTTGGTAACTTCATCCATTTTTGTGAAGATTTACATCTGACAGATCATTTTGTAGAGAATGGATCTTAGAAGTCAATGTATTTCCTTATAGGGTATAGCTGTTGTTTTAAGAATTCAAATCCACTTATGGTCCAGTTAACTTGTTAGACTTGTAGCTAAACTGTTTCCTTTCAGAATAAGATGCATGATACTTATACACATGAATCTAGTCTACCATGATGAGATCCCAAACCTTGCCTTTTCACAATTTCTCTTGTCAGAAGAATAGCCTCTTATGGTTTTTTGCATGAGGTTGAGGTGGTTTTTGCTCCAACAAAGGGAAGCAAGTAGTAGCTGATGTTGACAAGGTATGGTCTATGATATTGGCACATATTGACCCAAGATTCCATAGGTTTTACAGGCAACCGGTGACCAAACTGTCAGAACATTTTCAGTCTCTGTTTCAACTTGGGTCTTCTATAACCATGTAGTTTTTTGGGTGAAATTAGGGTTACCCAATCTCATAGAGAGGTACCCCTTCCCCTTTTATAGAAGTGCACTCTTACAGATAGGTCCTTACAATATTAACTAATTACTATCTAAATAACT